TAGGTCTAATTAATTGTAATAGTATATTTTATTTAGCAACATATAGCTAGAGTATTATTTTAACATGTGATCAGTATAAAAATTATTATTATCTTTTAGGTATTTTCCATATTTTTTGTATTGTCTTCAAAATTTTTTATATGTTTTATACTTACAGTACACACAAACTAGGACTAGCCTTATTTCAAGTGCTCAATAGCCACATGTGACTGGTGGCTTCTGTACTGACAACACAGCTTGATAACAGTTTAGTTTTGAATTTTTTTGTTTTTGAAATGAGCTAAATTGCCAAATTTACATATAATCAGCCTCACAGTATAGTATCCTTAAAGTCATTTGGTTTGTTTCCTTAGGCCCAACAGCCTATTTTTTTTTTATTTAGCTTATTTTAAAAGTATTATTATTAAATAGGTATTACATGCACATAATAAAAAACTTCACACAGTACTAACAGGTATAAAATATAAAAAGAAGAACGTCCTTGAAACGCATGTCCAAGCCCTTTCCCGTGAGATAATGACTGCCATGTATTCATGTAGATTTTTTCTACATGTATATGAAATATGTAATATTTTTCTTTTCTAACATAAATGAAAGCATAATCTACTTTTCATAGTCTTGATGAAACACTAACAAAAACTTTACAATATGCAAAGGGTTTTCTAGGATATTTTCAAGTGTAAATTTTTTTTTTTTTTTTTCCTTTTTTTGTCTTTTTTCGTGTCCGGCAACGGATCGCAACCCTCAGTGTCGCGCCCGTACCGGACCGGGACCGGCAACGGGATCACAAACCTCGGTGCTGCGCCCGCACCTCGCTCAGCCAGTGAGCGGGAACCGGTCTGTATGTGGGATCCGAACCCTCGGCGGGAGCGCCACCATGCTCCCAAGCGGCGCACTGTAGCAGTGCGCTACCGGGCCGGCCCTCAAGTGTAAATTTTTTAACAGCAATGAGGAAAGAAAGAAAAAACAACATGAGCTTAAATTTGTACGGTGTTTAGGCCCTTATTTTATAATATCCAATGTTTCAATTATCATAGAAATAACCAGTGGCCATGAATTCTGCAATATCAATTGTAGTAGCACTCCCCTACAGGACTATACAATTCATATGCATTATACTGTTCCTTTCTTAATTTCTTTCTTCACTCAGTCAGTCAACAAATATTTGATTTCCTACCCTGTGGCATACACTGTGTGGGATGCTGCATTTTCCCTATACTTTGCTCTATCAAAGAAAGAAAGAATGAAAGAAAGCACTTAAAAGCACTCATGATTTTATTGACCCTAAGGTGTAATCAGCTGATACAAATAAAAAGCTTCTTGCAATTTAAAAAGTGATAAAGCCTAATAAATAACTCTCTAATTGTGAAATTTCAGGGTAATTTATTTTAGACTGAGGTCATCCTGATATGTTGACCGCAGATAAATTCAATCCAGTTCCCCTGTTTTTTTTTTTGTTTGTTTGTTTTTTTCCTTTTTGTCTTTTTTCGTGTCCGGCAACGGATCGCAACCCTCAGTGTCGCGCCCATACCGGACCGGGACCGGCAACGGGATCGCAACCCTCGGTGTTGCGCCTGCACCTCGCTCAGCCAGTGAGCGGGAACCAGTCTGTATGTGGGATCCGAACCCTCGGCGGGAGGCGCCAACACGCTCCCAAGTGGCGCACTGTAGCAGTATGCCACTGGGCCGGCCCCCAGTTCCCCTGTTTTACATTTGAACTCTTCAAATGACCTATCTATTCTCTCTAACTTTTTTTATTTCATGGCCATGGCTCCCTACCATTCCATTGAAGTGGACTTAAGAACACAAATAACATTTTCACTAAATCCAGTGATCTTTTATTAAGACTTTCTCCTCCATCTTTTTATGGCATTAAAAAAGTTTTAATCATTCCTTCTGTACTTAAAAATTATTACACTAGGGTTAGAGCCTGTGGCTCACTTGGGAGAGCGTGGTGCTGACAACACCAAGTCAAGGGTTAACATCCCCTTACTGGTCATCTTTTGAAACAAACAAACGAACAAACAAAAAAACTATTACACTGAGATTTTATGCAATACTATACTTTTAAAGCTCCTTTCCCACTTCTCTGTTGGGTCATATTTTTCTCCTTTAAAAACTTTTCTTCTTTTGATCTCCTAATTGTGTGAGTTCTTCAGGCTACTACATGAGCAAGCAATCCTGTATTTAAAATTGTCACTGTTGCTCCATTATTTATAGCCTCCCAAAGTGTACTCTTTGGAACACTGTTCCCACAAGTCTACATTAAAAAACAAACATTCAGGAACTAGGGCAAACACCCTCTCTTGCCTGCACATTCTATAGAGATCATGAAGTTAAATATTCTCTTTCTTGATCTTACTTCCAGATGGAGTGAACATATGACACAATTTTGGCCAATAAGGCATAAACTGAAGTCTGCTGACCCTTCAACTTTCTTACTGATTTTAACATAGACAAAGCAGGAATTGCAGCAGACAACTTGTGATTTTGAATAAGTGAATTGCAGAGACATCGGTCTCCACACAGCTGAACACTGAACTCAGGACAGCAACTGCCTCTCTCCTGAGTTCTCCTTATGTGAGATAAACAAATCCCTATCTGTTTGCATTTCCATAATCAGGTGATTTATACCTTGCAGCTAAACAATAAAAATGCTGCATCTTATATGTCCCCATTGGAACTTCAGAATGCACATTAGCATATTAAAGGACCTGAGAAATTCTCAAGAGAAGAAATCTGTTGAATTTTAACATATCATCTGTTAAACTTATTTGGTCAAAAAGCCCTTTTCTTCCTGTACTATTAATATCCTATAGAACTATGGTTTCCTACGTTCTTGCTTTTCAAAGTGTGGTTCCTAGACCAGCAACATTTGCATTATCTTGACATTTTTAGAAAACCAGAATCTCAGGCCCAACCCCAGAATCAGAATTTATATAACAATATCCCCACATCATTTGTATGATGTTAAAGTTTGAGAAGCACTGCTGTGGGAAGCAATGGTTTAGAGAATAAAGTACACTAACCTTAATATCTTTATGTGACCATGATGTCAAAGACATCTATTATTATTGTCCTGTAATGCCTACTTCACTGATAATCACACCTAGCTTGTACTGAATGCTTACTTTGTGCAAGGCTTCATGCTAAGTACTCTACTTGTACAATTCTCAAAGCAACCCTATGAGGCAGGTACTATTATCTTCATCTTACAGATGAGATAGCTGAGGCTCAGAGAAGAGAATAACCTACCTAAGGTCACAAAGCTATGGAGTGGAAGAATCTTTGGCTTAAGGATTTAAGGATCACTAAACTATACTGCCTCTCTACCCTTCTTTTGTTTTCATGCACTTTCCTATTTTGTGTACTTTACACATGTGGTTCCCTCTACCTGACATGATCTCCCCACATACACCTAGTTAAAAGATCGTAGCTCAAAAAATTCCTCTGGGAAGCTTTTCTGATCCCCTCCACCCAAGCCAAGTCAGGTCTCCCTAGTATACATTCCCCACGAACGTACTTTTCCTTTATACTTACCAGCTTTTTCTTTTTTATTTTTTTTTTAATCAAACATGTTTACAGGGTGCAATTTTTTGTTTTGATATATGCATGTACTGTATTATGATCTAATCAGAATAGTTAGCATATCTATTATCAAAGCATTCACCATTTCTTTGTGTTTATAACATTCAAGATCCTCTTTTTTTTTTTTTTTTTTTTCCCGTGTCCGGCAACGGATCGCAACCCTCAGTGTTGCCCCCGTACCGGACCGGGGACCGGCAACGGGATCGCAACCCTCGGTGTTGCTCCCGCGCCTCGCTCAGCCAGTGAGCGGGAACCGGTCTGTATGTGGGATCCAAAGCGTGGGAGGGCCACCGCGCTTCCCAAGCGGCACACTGGGACCGGCAACGGGATCGCAAGCCTCGGTGTTGCTCCCGCGCCTCGCTCAGCCAGTGAGCGGGAACCGGTCTGTATGTGGGATCCAAAGCGTGGGAGGGCCACCGCGCTTCCCAAGCGGCACACTATCCAGTGCGCCACCAGGCCGGCCCCCAAGATCCTCTTTTCTGGTTATCTTGATACTTAGCTTTTAAAGTTATTTACATTTGTGTAATTATATGCTTAGTGTATGTCCTTATCAAAAAACTAAGCTCCTTGGGCCGGCCCAGTGCGCCGCTTGGGAGTGCAGCGGCCCTCCCGCCGAGGGTTCGGAGCCCATGTGGAGACCGGTTCCCGCTCACTGGCTGAGCGCGGTGCGGGCACAACACCGAGGGTTGCGATCCCGTTACCGGTCAGTAAAAAAAAGGGAAAAAAAAACCAAAACTAAGCTCCCTGTGGGCTTGAACTGTGCGTACCCTCTGTGCCCGACACATAATTGGCACACAGACATTTGATGGAATATCTTGTCTTTACTCCTGCTTTTACTCTTACTTGAAAGGTTCTTTGCCCACTCAGCACCAATCCAAGTTCCATCCAGAAGAAATTCAAGGACAGTGGTGAAAAATTTGATTTACCATTGGAAGACTCGGAATGAGTCCTTGTTCCCTATTTATTAGTTCTATAACTTTGAGCAGTTACAAAAACTCAGATCCACAAATTCTTAGCTCTGTTAAATGGAAATAATAATACCTCACAGGATAAGCATAAGAATTAAAATGAGGCCTATCAAAGAAGTGTATAACCTACATATACACTAAAAATATGACTAATGTTTTATAGTGATTAAGATCCTGGGGTGTGCTTAAGAGTTTCAGTTCTGCAATCTGAGACCTGAGTTCAAATCCCTACTAATAATACGTTTGTCTAGGAAGTTGGTTTGGTAAGCCATTATTTGCTGGATTTTGCCATGTGTGTTGTCATGTGTCAATTGCATTCATACTTAATTTATTAGGCATGTATGCTTGTGTTAGCTCCTACGTCATGGTATATATTCTATACTTTTTATTGTTTATCCAACATAAGCCCTTATTGTAGCTCTTTGCACATAGGAATTCAATAAATATTAACCCATCTACCTTTATTTGGTGAATATTGCATATTTGCTGTTGTGAAAGTACATTAAGTAATAAAGGCAAGTAAGAAAAATAAAAAGAAGTAATAGAAGTACACACAACAATTGCCATTGTCGTACATGTGTATGTTCAGAATTAGTTTTTCAAATCACTTTAAACCAAGATGAACTGCAGAAATGGAAGCCCAACAGGAACAATTAAACAATATTTGGAATAAAATCATTTGGCCTAATTTTCATAACCACAGATTTCAAAGAATACCACCACCCATGCCAGGTGTACCAGACAACCCCATTGTCTGTGTCAGCCACGTAGGGGCCTCTGTAGTATAAACCATTCAGGTTTGCAGAGTGACACCTAGTGGAAGAAAAAAAGAAAACAGAACAATCAGCCTAGAAAAATATCCTTCAGAAACCCTTTTATTTTGCTAACAAATGATCAAAACTTTCAAACTATTAATTCTGCCATTTTTCAGACAAGTCAATATTTATCAGTTTCCAAAAGCTGAGATATTTCTACAACAGATGAGTTTTTTTAAACTGTTGAATTTTACTGCCTTAGCAAATCTGAGGATACAACCCAGGCCACTTGTAGGGTTTTGAAAAATAATCATTTCCATTCTTAAGATCCTTTAAACAAAAAACAAAAATAAGCAAACACGAACATGACCTTGCAACCTCCAGCCTTACAACCTCCTGACTCAGAACAATGTTAGCTTTGTGCTTAGCCAGAGTGGCACGGGTTAACAAAGCAAGATGTGGGGCAGTTGCTCTACTGCCAGCTTCCCTGGATAATTTGCACTTACGTGTTCATCAATCTGCTGCCAAGACGTGGCTTTCGTAATTCCCTTCCTCCCCTTCTTTAAATCGCTAGTATATCAACTATTTTAATCTCAAGGGTAAGCAAACAAAAGTTAAACCACCATTTAAAGTTTTCCCAGCCATCAACCAATAATCATTTGTCTGAGTTGCTGAGTTAATGTTTTACATGTATTGCACCAATCCAGATAAGCTGGTTAGGTTATCACTAATTTTTAAATGTTCCTCTTCCTCCTTTGGGGTCTGTAAATTTTGTTCTTGACATCTAAAATTACATGTAAGACTATGTGATATTTATGTTGTGTTATTATCAAATTAATTATCATATATCTCTTTATTGATATAACCAATGAAGTTAAATGGATTGTCCTCAATTTTATGGAAAACCTAGTACTCCAGAAATACTCACTTACCAAAGATTCTATAATGGAAAATTTAAATGTCCAGATATTTTAAGGTGGCTCCCACCTTCTACAGAGAAAAGATGTTCAAAGCGCACACATTGCCTAACAGTTTGAGCACATCTGCTTTGCAGACACAGCAGGCTCATCAAGTCCTTTTCATAGATGAAGACTCTCTGTATCAAATATCCATTCCTGCCTTAAATTTGTGATTACAACAAGTAAAGCTGTCTGGAAACCATCTTAGGTGGAGAATAGTTAAAGGAATCATTTGGCCTAGAGAAGAGAAAATACCGAGGAATATCTTCTCATCCAGTGCCTGAAGAATTATGTTGATATGGAATTATAATTACTCCGTAGCTACTGAGGGAAAACCTGGTGAAGTGTAAGAAGGTAGATTTCAGGTCAATAAAAGGAGGAACTTTGTAAAATCAGAAGAGGAATGAGCTTGCTGATAAAGTAACATTCAATTGCAGGGTGGAATTAGGTTTCAGGAATATTGTATGGGAGATTTCTGCCTTGGGAGGGGCTTGGATTCAATGAATTCATGAAAGGCGATGATTGAAAAGTAGTATAGTACTACGTGGAAAAATGCAACAATAACAATGACTATTTTGTAATGACATGGGAGGGTGAAGAGCTAGCTGGTTATTAGGATGCCACAAATATTTTTCTCATGCCCTCTAATTCTTTGTGTGAATTTGTGGACTTTTCCTTTTAATTCATCCATAATTCAGCTTGCAAACAGTCTTTGTAAAAGTAGCAATCTGGCTTATTTCTATGACATATCTTTTAAACTTCACTAATGTGCACAATGAACAAATCCTCAAAAATACCTTATCACAGAGGAATTCTAATAAGAATGATTACTTAATAATACTAGTATTACAAATAAGACCAACATTACCTCATGTATTATAATTAATGCCCACCAGTGAGATATCATCATCACCATTACAACTATGTTTATAAAATGTCAAACCTGTTAAACCACCAGCCAGACTGATCCTCTGCTGCACAGTTCCCTTTGTAGTTGTCATTATCTCTGTCCCATGTGCTGAATTTCATCCTTTGGTGACTAGCCCACCACTGAACCTCAGGATGAAAATTCCCTGAAAGGGAGTCTCCAGCTGTCCCAGAATATTCCCCGATATTCAACTCATAGGAATTCTAAAGAAAAAGAAGCAAGTTCTACTATCAGTTTTCACCATTTAAAAAAAAAAATGTCTGTTTAATAAACAAAACAACAGGTTCTATTGGATATTTTTATTTCCACTGATTTCAGGATTATATTGTATGTTTTAAGCATTAATTCATGGTGTGACTTATTTGAAAATTTTAGTACCTTTTCATCTCCAACTTTGAAATTTTTGTATTGTGCATAACGGGTATTTTTTTCAAAATCTGCAAGGTCGATTTTTAAAGTGTAGTCTCCTGAAAAACGAGAAATTGTAGTTTTTAAATGTGACATGGAATTGACTAGTGAAGCTTAAAAACAATTCACAGCTTTTTTACTTTTACTATTTCCTTCTGCCAAGAGTCAGTTTTCAGAGAACACTCAGTGACTCCATTGTATTTAGAACATGAACACTTTATTGTGTATTTTACTTGAAAAAAATTGGGTACACAATATTAAAGGTAGAAAATTTCTACTAGATTGATCATAGGTAAAAGCTAGTGCAATTTACTTGGTAAAAAACAACAGAAAACAAGTCATTATTTAGTTAATAGATGAAGAAATCAAAGTATAGAAGTTTTAAGGAGTTTAACAGTTTATCCTCTTTTTCTCAATTTTGATAAGAATGTTGACTTTAAAAATAAATAATGACTGTTAATAATGTCTTATAATCTCTAGCAGCTAGGCAGTTGTCACAATGTAGTTGCCATCGTCTGCATATGCATGAACTTGGTTATTTTCCCTAGTAGTGCTCCAAGATCAGCCAGCAAACCTTTTAATGTGCATTTGAGGAAGAAATACAAATCCTGGTTGTTATCAAAAAACCTTCCTTTGATATTGACCCATAAAATCAAGAGAGTGTTAGCATCAAAGTATATAGAATGGATGTCATTGGAAGAGAATTTCAGAGACAATAGAGGAACACTCTCAAGAAATGCTGCGCCAATCCGCGCCTGCGCAGATCTCGACGGAGCGCAGCCGTGGCCATGGCAACGGCGCGGGCTGCGGGGCGCGATCCACTCGGGTCTGCCGCGGTCGTGAGCGCAGCGCGCATGCGCTTTTGAGGACCGCCCTTGGAGCCTGCCGCGCCTGCGCCGAGCGCTCACGGCCCGCCCATCCGCGCCGCCGTGGCCATGGCAACGGCGCGGGCTCCGTAATAACTTCGTATAGCATACATTATACGAAGTTATACGAGATCCCATATAGGGATGGCTGGTTCGCTCACTGGCTGAGCGTGGTGCTGACAACACCAAGTCAAGGGTTAAGATCCCCTTAACGGCCATCTTTAAAAAAAAAAAAAAGAAATGCTACACTACCAACATTCTTGATGGCATAGAGGATGATAATTATTGGAAAACATGCTAACATCAATAACTCTGAGTCAAAAGGTATTTTAAAAGAGTTGATATCTGGATGTGAAAGCATTTTACAAATACTTTAAACCTTTATTTGGCATATATTCTTTGTTATACAGTGCTAAAAATGATATATGATAAAAAAATAAATCTCTAAATATAAAAGAGGTATTTTAAAGACTATAAAATAAAAATTCTAGATGATAAGAGCATTCTCTAAAAGAATAATAATGACTGAAATAGTCACTATTTTCAAGTAATCATCTTTTTCCCACTGTCCCATTGTTTGTAAATAACAAAGACTATTCCTCTTTCAGAATCAGAACTATTGTCAGGAGCATAGAAAGTTACAAACCAAACTAACTGTTAGATCATATATGCTCTATCATTCTATTTTGATAAATTAAATATCACAATGACCTATAAAACCAGGTTGGAATTTAGAGTCTCAGACTCCTTGGAGTTCCAAGCCAGAACATGGAGCCCACAGAGAGAGACTCGCTGGGTCCCGTCACCCAGGCACAGTCTATGGTCGGCCTCCCTTCTCTTTCCATCCCTATCTCCATCACGCACAACAAGAGGTCTTGGATGCACTTGTGGAATCCCAGGTTATGTATCCAAGCTCTGTTCGTACCCATAATAAAATCTATTCCTTAGCCTCCTCTTGGGCTCAAGGGTACACCCATCAGCAACACAGGAGAACAGACAAAGAAGAGGCCTGAACATGTCCTGGGAACAAGCTCAAGGCTGTCTGGGCACAAAATTCTGAATTCCCCATTACTGGAACAAGTTTAGAAAGGGGCATGGGCTCTCACTGGGCTTGTCCTTTTGATCCCACAGACTCCTTGCCCCATGGAGCTTTCTAAGGCAGTAAAGGTCACACGAGCCAACACTGTGAGGTGGACAGGAACAGTAAGGCAGCCTAGGTCACTGTCCTAAAAAGTACTTTGTGTTAATAGGAGAGATATATAAAATCAGTCCCAAATTTCTGAGTAATCATCTAAATATTCCTTTGGTCAATAAATAAGTAAAATTGCAATTACAGACTATTTCTCAATTAATTTTATGGCAAACACTTCCAGTCAAAATGTATGTAATGGGGATAGAGCTATTTTCAGGGACAATTTACTAGCCTTAAGTGCTCCCATTATTAAAGAATGCAGGGACAAAGGTACTGCCTTTTGCTTGGGATGATGTGATACATGGTTGTGAGGCCTGGTTCTGATAAATACTGTGCAATTTTGCTACGATGAGAATAACCAGCCTGAATATCAAATTAAAATATGAAGGGGAAGATTCACTGGCAAGTCCATCTAGGCAAATATGCACATAATAATAATTTTAAAAATAATGTTTGAATTTCATATATTTAGGAGCCAAGGGTTACTGCTTGAGGTTTTCAATTTCAATAAAGAACCAGATAAATATTAATATGCAAAAGAAACTGAAGCTGATATGATATATTATATATATCTCACATAAAACACTAAAAATTGGGATAAGAAATACATTGAAGGAATCCTCATATAAATTTAGAGAGCAATGATCACAAGAAGGACAAACTATTAGGCTTCTAGAACTATCCATCCTCTCTAGCTATTATTCTAGTGTCTCAAAAACCCTTATAATTGTAGTCCTATTGACTGTTACAACTACAGAAACACCAATAGCTTTCCTGAACTTGGATGGAACAAATAAACCCTTGCTTTTATATTTAGTGCATTGCTAGTGTAATGTAGCATGCTTTCTTGGACAATGCAATTAATTGTCTTTTAAGAAACATTCAGGGTTGACACACCTGAGTGGGGCTGACTACAATCTCAGACTACAACTGAGGTAGGGAAGACAATGGATTGGAGCAAAAAAATATGGGAAATAGAAGCCTGGAAAATTTGTTATCAAACTAATGATATTTTAGACAAAGATTAAACCCTAGTTAAGGTTAGGAATGTAAAAGTATAGGGAGAATTGTATAGATGTCTACAATTTACTTTGAAATATATATTCAAAAAAGATGGGTCGGGGCCGGCCTGGTGGCGCACTGCTACAGTGAGCCGCTTGGGAGCACGGCGGCGCTCCCACCGAGGGTTCGGATCCCACATACAGACCGGCCGCTCACTGGCTCAGCGAGGTGCGGGCGCAACACCAAGGGTTGCGATCCCGTTGCCGGTCCCAGTCCGGTATGGGTGTGACACTGAGGGTTGCAATCCATTGCCGGTCATGAAAAAACACAAAAAGGAAAAAAAAAAAAAAGATGGGTTGATGGATGGATGGAGTGATGGCTAGGTGGATAGATATGTGACAAAATATGCACAGTAAAATGTTAATGTTGAATCTATATGGTAGATTGAAATTTCTTTCAACTTTGCTATATCATTGAAAAAATTTCAAAATAAAAGATGGGTGTTGTGTGGAAACAAGGACATATATAGTGTATTGTGGTATTTAATTGCAGAACAATCCAATTCCTCAATTCTTTACCTCTCCCTTTTGCAAGGCAGCTTTGTAACTCCTCCTATTCTCTACGAAGGTACTTCAAAAAGTTTGTGGAAAAAATAGAATTGAAAGATAATATAAATCTTTTCATGAACTTTTTGAAGTACCCATGTATTTTCTTTACCTTACATCCGAGCTGGTCCTTTGACTTGCTTTCATCAATAGAAGGAAAATGGCTGTGCCAGTTCCGAGCCTAGATTTCAAGAGACTAAAGTGCATCCACTCCCTTTCCTGGAACCCTGCCTCTGCTACAAGAACGAGTCCATATGGAGCAGAGCTGAATCCTTCCATCTGTGGCCAACGCAGAGTCGTGAGTTCGGTCAGGAAATTGAGTGCATACCTATGCGCAAGCCCAAGATCAGCAGAGCCCAGCCCTGACCAGCAAAACCAACAACCAACTTGTAGATTTGTGAGAAATAAGACAGGTGATTTTTCTTAAGCCACTAAGTTTTGAAGGGGCTTGTTACAAGGTAGTGTTGTGGCAACAGGAAACTGATAGAGTGTGTATAATCTTCAGGCACTCAAGGCATTAAAAAAGAATGATTATGATATTACATTTCCCTTTTAGAAATAGAACCTTGTATGAGAAAACAATCTTCTACCCTGCCCCATGCCCCCAAAACCAGTTCTAGTTTCTTTTCCTATATTCCTAATTTTAAACAGCCGCATTTTACAAAGGGGATTGCCTTGGGCTAAATGTCCCACCAAAACTTAATCCGCACTGTAACTGTTGAGGGTGGGAAACCCTCTTATGGTAATTGAAAGGTGAGCCCTTGAGGAGGTGATTAGATTTATGACCATGCAGTGAATGTATTAAAAATGGTGGTCAGGGGTATGGTTCTGAGGGCTTTAAGAACAGTGAATGAGCAGGTTAGTCTCTCACTCTGCTTCCACCATCTTGCAATATGAGACCCCTGTGTCACTGTCACCACCAACAGATGTGTTCCTTGGACTGTGGACTTCCCAGCTTCAGAAACTGTAAGCAATAAATTTCATTTTCTTATAAATTACCCAGTTTCAGGTATTTTGCTAGAAGCAACAGAAATGGACTAATACAGGGATTATTGCCAAAAGTTATCATCAGCATCTGAAAATCACAGTAGTTATTGAATTAGCTCCACTGCCTATGATTTAATGAAAAATATTTTAGTGTTGCTTTTATTATATTTCAGATTAATTTTTTTTTCCTTTTTGTCTTTTTTCGTGTCCGGCAACGGATCGCAACCCTCAGTGTTGCGCCCGCACCTCGCTCAGCCAGTGAGTGGGAACTGGTCTGTATGTGGGATCCAAACCCTCGGCGGGAGCGCCACCGCGCTCCCAAGCGGCGCACTGTAGCAGTGCGCCACCGGGCTGGCCCCATATTTCAGATTAATTTGACATTAGGCAAACCTTACCTTGTGTGGTCAATAAGTGAAGATTTTTATTACCCAGCCAATATTCACCATTTTTTTGGACAAAATTTCCAAAGCCATTTTCATAGTCATTCCAGCCTCTAAAAAATTTAACGTAAGAGCTGATTTTAGTGAAATCCAGGTAGACATCTGTAATACCCAAGGTGCCTACCTCCCCCCCCCCCCCCCCCCCCCGTTACTCCCATCTCCAATAGTTTCTTGATTAGGTTAATTCACTTTTACTATTTTTACTTAGAGAGAGTAAAATTCTGTCTAATTAAAAGACTTCATGATATGATAAAAAGATTTAATTTAATATAAATCTCACATTTGTTGATGTTGATAACATCAAGTTCTGAGGTTCTATCCCTCTACCAGCCAGGAAAAAGTAAATCTCACATTTGCTATTCCAAATAAATTCTTTTTTTTTTTTTTTCTTTTTGTCTTTTTTTACTGACTGGTAATGGGATCGCAACCCTCGGTGTCGTGCCTGTACCGGGGACCGGCAACGGGATCACAACCCTCGGTGTTGCACCCGCACCTCGCTCAGCCAGTGAGCGGGAACCGGTCTCGACATGGGATCCGAACCCTCGGCGGGAGCGCCACCGCACTCCCAAGCAGCGCACTCTCCAGTACGCCACCGGGCCGGCCCCCAAATAAATTCTTATGTCATAATTAACATACCTGTTGAATTTCTCACTGCCATCAGATCGTCTCTGAATTACAGTCCATCCTCCTCCATCGGACATGTCACAATAAACAGAGAATTCTGCTGGGCTCTGGAGAGGTTTGATTTTGTAAAATCCACTGCGTTTGTACCCATCATTGAAAATCTCTGAGCAATCTGTTTGCAAAACAAAGTAACGTAACATTTGTTATGTGTCATTTTTTTTTAAGGGAGCCTCTGAATGATATTACTCAATACCAATGGAAATAAACACATGGTGTAGATAATGTCAGCTTTTTAAAATTGCATCGTGTACATTTTCCAGTGGATAGTAGAAGTCTTATTCCCTTTGCTATTTAATTATCACCTGACTCCTTGATATCATCATGGGAAAAGAGTAAAACAGGACTCTGGTTTCTCATTTCTGATTGTTGTAGTAAATGATTTTAAAAACAAACTATATTTGTTCAGTTAATTATAGTACATTTAAGTGAAACTTATAGCTTTATCAGACAGAATAGTGGAACTTATCTCTCCTATGAAGCTAAAAATGAAAGTAGAAAAATAACATCAAATAAATAATTTAATACATGTTATCTTGGTTGGAGCATTATAAATCATTCTGACAATACCAAAAGATTTATTTTATTTTATTTGTATTTTTTTATTGAGACATAATTGATTGTACATATCTGTGGGGTACAGCATTGAATATCGATACCTGTGTGCTCTTTTATATATAAAAAGTCTATAAAAATGCTATCATCCATAAAAGGACCTTACTCACATATTTTAAGTTTTACTTAACTAAAAGTTTTAATGCCTTTTAAAAAATCATCCCAAACATCTGGAAATGAACTCAAAATAGTAATCTCCCAGTCTCACCAGATTTTTGACTAACCCACTGAAATTTTTAAGAGTCCACACATTCTTAGATGTTTTTGCTAAAAGCTGCAAGCTTCTGCTATTACTTTCATCCCTGAATTCCTCTTTGCTATGGTATTTTTTTGACCATTGAAGCAAACATAACTACCAATTCTTCATCAAAAAAATAATATCTGTATCTTAAGCCTTTTGAGGGTGGAATAAACTAATATCCATTGGGTCTCATCTAGGCTGATCTGTACAGATTTAGAGAATATGACAAGAATGAACTCTATTGTTTAGATGTCCCGAAAACTATGTTGTTGGATGACTGAAGTAGTGGCCTCTGAAAAGAGATAGTCTCAAGAATACCCAGCCACAAATGTTTGAATTAAAATACTATAATTTAACATTGCTAACTTTCATATTTTACCCTTAAAAGTTTCTTAATTTCCTTTTTTTTTTTTTTTTTAAAAGATGACCGGTAAGGGGATCTTAACCCTTGACTTGGTGTGGTCAGCACCACGCTCAGCCAGTGAGCGAACCGGCCATCCCTATATGGGATCCGAACCCGGGGCCTTGGTGTTATCAGCACCGCACTCTACCGAGTGAACCACGGGCCGGCCCTTAATTTCCTTTTTTAAGAAAAGCTTTTTTTCTTCCCGATTGGATAATTTCATTCTTTCAGTTCTTTCTTCATTTCACTGTTTTGATGCTAAATTGTCTATATATCTTTTTTGTTTTGTTGTAGATAAAATATAGTACACATTAAATAGGTTGAATAAGCCATAGGAGTCAGAAGAGAAAAGAAAATAAAGAACCTTAGTCACTTTATAAACCCTTTATAAAGGCTGTGCCGGATCATATCTACCCCTTTGGTGAGATATTCATCTTTGTAATGATTTGGGCTTTATTCATATATTTATTTTCAAGATTGAGAAGCACAAGTGTTTCTTATACATGCTGAATTATAAAAAGGATTCTGTTTTGGCAATGAAACAAGAAGAAAAAAATAGGAACGTGATTATCTAAAATTAGCTCAATGTTGCTAAAAAGCTTACATCTTGTGGTCAAGCATATTGCATACCGCTTTCATTAAAATAAGCAGATTTTAACCTTGTTAGAAAAGAAACTCTTTGGTTACATTTAATCTCCTACCAAGGAGCTCAATAGTAAAGGCTCACAAGGCTCAGACTATTTCCCAGGCAAATATGGAAATGATTAGCTATAATATTTGCCTCTGGACAACTTTGTAAATATAGAGGTTTTAGCCAACATTTTCTATTTGTTTTTATTTTATGCCAATTGTGAGTTTGTTTTGTTTTGTTTTTGTTTTTGTTTTTAATTTTCTTTCTACCCAGAAGAAAATGCCAAACACAACTTAAGATTCAGAGGAAAGCTTTCAACTGCACAACAACAAAAACCCCAACAACTAGATAAACTTCAAAAAAGCACCCGCAGTTCCAGTGCATTTAGAGAACAAGTTAAGGAACCTGCCGTGGGAAATGTGGCTGAAACTATGACAGAAGAAAGTTTGAGCAACATAGACTTTAGAATATTAACTAGATATTTAAAACTTATGATTTTCGAAATGTTTCAACCAACTCAACCCCCTGGAGAACAGGCAGAAGGGCAGGGTTAGAGAGCTCGGCGTTCTTGGGAGTTTTAAAAAAAAAAAAAAAAGGATTTTTGGATACTTACATAATACTAGAATGAGGCCAGGGCTTCCAGCCCTCTGTTTTGACAAACATTGCATTGAACTGGGTGATGTGACTAGTTCCTGTGATCATGCAGAAAACAAGCCATGTTGGAAGGCTGAATGTTTAAGCCTCATAAAGTGACATGACAGGGGCTGGCCCGGTGGCGCACTGATACAGTGCGCCGCTTGGGAGCATGGTGGCGCTCCCGCGGAGGGTTCGGATCCCACATACAGACCGGTTCCGCTCACTGGCTGAGCGAGGTGCGGGTGCGACACCGAGGGTTGCGATCCCGTTGCTGGTCCCGGTCCGGTACGGGCGCGACACTGAGGGTTGCGATCCGTTGCCGGACACGAAAAAAGATGGAAAAAAAAAAAAGAAAAAAAAAAAAGTGACATGACAGTGTGCCAGATGGGCTTTTTCCTGTTGTCCCAGATGGGCTTTTTCCTGTTGTCCCAGAATGGTGGCTGAAGCTCAAAGCTGAGAACCAAAGGTACTGAGTACCCCACATTCTAAATTCAAAAAAAGGCCAGCAGCAGAATGTCAGTCACTACTTTACAGGACATGCCAGGACATGCCAGGACATGCCAGAACTGGCTCTGCCTCTGCCATCCTCACCCCCAGGCAACAGAAGAAAACTAAGAGAATAAAGTAAGTTGGCTCTTTGGAGAGTGCAGTGTTCTTGTAGGGTGGAATGAGTGGGCTCTCTCCTCTGAAGACAAGTGAGAGAAGATCTGATAATGTCCATAGATAGCAGACATTCATTGAATGTCTCTCTTTTACTAAATGCTATGTTAAATATACTAACTCATTTAATCTTTACAACAAATAAACAGATATTCATATCACTCCCATTTTACAGATGAGGAATACGAGGGACATTTGCCCAAAGGCTACAGTTAGCAAAATGGGCAACTAGACATTGAAACCAATTAGTGTGAATTTGGTATAGGAATCTTTTAATTCAATAGCACCCAAGGCTTAAAAAGAGATGCATTTTAATTACACGCTGAATAAAAATCATGTGATCTGTGTATTGTTTGCACAAATTACTAGGTTGTATGTAATTAGATGTTTTCTACCATGAGATGAATTAGAATTCAGAAAATAACTAATTTAGTAATAATATAGCAACTTGTAAATAAAAACAAAGAATTTATATTTCTACAGATTATATATATAAATATTTAATTTTTTTCTAATTTAAAGACACCAAAAACATAAACTTTCATGTGAGCAAGTTCTTATATATTTTATACAATATTATATGGTATACATACTATGTTGTATTATATACTTATTGAGATTTATGTGTTATGCATTTTATTTATTGTCTGTTCTTGGAAGGCTCTCAAGTACTATTTGCCTATATGCTGAAAAATAAAGTACAATTGAACTGTGTGTATACTCATACTTTTTCCTCTTTCACTCCTTTATATTTGCATCATATATGAAGAATATTAAGTGCCAATGTACTGACTTCTGGATTATTTATTTATTTATTTATTTTGTCTTTTTCCGTGTCCGGCAACGGATCGCAACCCTCAGTGTTGCCCCCGTACCGGACCGGGGACCGGCAACGGTATTGCAACCCTCGGTGCTGCTCCCGCGCCTCGCTCAGCCAGTGAGCGGGAACCGGTCTGTATATGGGATCCGAACCCTCGGGCGGGAGCACCGCCGCGCTTCCCAAGCGGCGCACTTATCCAGTGCGCCACCGGGCCGGCCCCGACTTCTGGATTTTTTAGCTGTTATATGCAGCAACAGTCATCTAGAATGTCTGTCCTCCATTTTACCATTATAACACACACAGAGTCACAGATAATATAGTAGTTTGTGGTGGACCCTCTTTGTATGACTCTTCTATCTAAATTTTATTTGCACAATCAATTCTACTCTGATCTCAGCCTTTTAATTTCCTAGTAACTGATTTCTTGCCTTATTCCTTGGTGAGTTGTTTCCCAAGGTCTGATCCCCACTGCTCTCAACACAGAAACTGGATTTTTTAGCTTGTAAGCCTGTCTTCCCATGACTTGTTGCATAGCCCCGGGAACAAACATCTCCTTACCTGCCTCCTCCTATGCTCTGACCTCTGAATCTGTGTTTGAGTAGATACCCCGAGTCTTAAGCGAGGTCGGGAATTTGGAATCACAGTACTTCAGCTGCATCTGTCCATGCCTTGCCCTGGAGGTCAGTGTTGTACCTACTTTTGGAATCACATATCTGTACGATCGGTCCCTGAATGACCAACCTGTTGCCTTCCTCTCAAGTTCTAATTCAGATAACTGCCTTGCCTGTCCCTGTGGGTCTGTTTAAAGTGTTTGCCTTCACTTTCTTCCACCTGATCTGTTCTATCAATTAGATTCAACAAATATGTGTTGCATTTACTATGTGCCAGTCTCCGTGTTAGGTGCTGAATGTACAGCAAGAAGCTAGACAGTTTAGCAGGACAGACGATTAAGCCTTCAGTGACAATACTCCATGATAAGTGCTAAGCTGGAAAAGCAAAGGATACTTTTGGAGTGGACGGGAGTGGTATCTAATCCAGACTTTAGAGTCAGAAAGTTTCCTGAAAGGAGTGAGGGTTAAACTGGGACCTTAAGAATGAATAGTAGGAGT